TTTTACAAAGTCCTTTAAATTGTTTAAACTGCATCACAAACTTTGACTAAAACATTGTCATACTTTAATGGAATAGCCTTTTGATGAGTGGAAACTTTCATTCAAAGTTAATTGTGGTCTGTTGCAAGGCAAAATAATGTCTTTATCCCGAATGCTCCCATTTCCCATTGGCAGTCCAAATTTACGCCTTTTTATCCATACCTTGTAGCCCCTATTTATTGTTTTTATAACAATATTGTATGTATTGTTGATTTGTCCTCGTCCTGAACATGTATGTTATCATTTCCACTAGACGTTAAGAAAACCACATTCAATCAGTAAATCAATCAATCGAAATCGATTGATTTATTGTTATTTGCTTAATAAAAAGTGGCAATTATTTCATGCATATTCAGGACTATAACAAAATAACAAGTATTATGATAGTAATGTTCTGGGAGGTAAGTGAATCGGGATGTGTTGAATGGCGGGAAATTTGGACTTCCATTTGAAATGAGAGCATACTGGATAGTTGCCAACATTATGCTTTTCAGCAGGCCACCTACGCACCCTTAAAGAGTTGTCACAACGGTTCTTTAACATGCAGAGTGGAATGAGTTGTTTCAACGGTTCTTTAACATGCAGAGAGCGTGTCACTCTCCATACACAGACATCGGATTTAACGTCCCCGTAACGACAGATGTGGCTGCGAATTTATGGATCCGACACAATAGAACATAACCCCCACTTGGTGTCATCCTGGTTTGCCCACTTTTAATTACATGCATATGAAACGGTGTCATCCTGGTTTGCCCACTTTTAATTACATGCATATGTAAACAAAGGGGGAATTGTTGTTTTAACAATTATAGTTTATTTCTGAATTATAGTCATATTTTTTACCTTTTATTTTACCTGTAAAATTTTATAAAAGATACTATATTCTGCTATTAAATCAAGGAAAATGTGCAAAAATATTCTATATTTGATATAGTTTTAGCAGGAAAATGTATTTAATTTGACAAATAGAAGGGGGAAAAAATAGGGAAAAATGTGTACAAAAATGTTTATTATTTTTACAATTTATCAACAAATAGTTTTAATTATTGGTACATTTAAAAAAAAAAAAAAAAGTAAAATAACGAAACTAAAGATTAGAATAAATGTCATTTGAATTTCTTTTTATTTATTCAACTTAGTTTTTTCAAATTTTTAATAAATACACTGTTCTGAAATTTAACATAAAAAAATATCCAATTGATTCTAACAAATAGCTAATTAACAAACTTAAGAAGAGACTCCAACATGCCCACCCCAACATCTACGAGATCATTGAGTTACTGAAGAAGACCCAGGAACTAACAGAATGTAATATTATCCAGTATGCAGCAGGAGGAGCCCGCACACCAAAAAGACGAAGATACAGAGTAATAGACACCAGACTCCTACTACTGAAAGACAGGTACCAACAAGGACTCATCAACGTTGTAGACTACTCTGACGCAGCATCCCATCTTCTCCATTTGAACTGAACAACTAAGTGAAATATGTAATTTGTGACTTTGTAAATATAATGTTTTGTGACTTTTGATGTATATATAAAAGATTGTATTTCCCATCATTATACATATAGAGCCCCAAATTACTTATTTTACCATAGTGCTTTATTTATTTCCTTATGCAATGTATTTATAAACTTGATTCATATATTATATATATTATGTTTGCAATAAAAGAGAACTTGCATTGGTGTATTTATATCATGAAAATCATTCAGAAACTAATGAATTATAAAGACACTTTTATAACTGAATCTCATTGTTTTGTCATTAGTTGTACATGTTTGTTAAATGAATCGATTGAATTGATATTAAATTATTGAGAAAAAAATATTTGATTTATTTATTATTTTTCTATACAAATGAAAATGGAATTACAAAATAAAAAAAATACTTGAATATAAAGAAACACTAATAAACTATATACCTAAGTTGGAACAGACTATACAATTGTATGCTCATTAAACCTTTTGTCTTTTTTGTTTTCTTTACTGATAGATAATTGATATAATTAAAAGTGGGCAAACCAGGGGGATTTGTTGTTTTAACAATTATAGTTTATTTCTGAATTATAGTCATATTTTTTACCTTTTATTTTACCTGTAAAATTTTTAACAAGATACTATAATCTGCTATTAAATCAAGGAAAAAATGCAAAAATATTTAATATTTTATATAGTTTTTAGCAGGAAAATGTAGTGTATTTGACCCCAAAAAAGTAAAAAATAGACCAATGTGTGTATAGAAAATGTATATTATTTTTATACTTTATCAGCAAATAGTTTTCATTGTTGGTACATTCTGAAAAAAAAGTAAAATTTCTTTATTATTCAACTTATTTTTATTTTTATTTTTAATAAATATACTGTTCTGAAATTTAATATTAAAAATATCCAATTAATTCTAGCAAATAGAATATAAATGCAACTGTTCAGTAGCCAAGCTTTACATTTGACACACCAACATCAGTTACAACTTCACCAGAAACAGAATTTACTGACTACTAAACAGCAACCAACAATGCAGCACGGACAGTGTTCTTAGGGGTAACCTTGTTGTGGCTGTTTAGCTTAAAACTTTAGAAGACATTGGTGAAGCTGACAGCATACCCGCTACAACATCATTTACTGATGATGTGACAGAGTTCTGGGTTGAAGGATATCACTTTCTATGGAACCACTACTACACTGAAGGACCTCCCACCACCAATCACCTAGAAGGATGGCACATCAAAATTAAGAAGAGACTCCAACATGTCAACCCCAACATGTACTAGATCATTGAGTAACTGAAGAAGACCCAGGTACTGACAGAATGTAACATTATCCAGTATGCAGCAGGAGGAGCCCGCCCACCAAAATGACGCAGATACAGAGTAATAGACACCAGACTCCAACTACTGAAAGACAGATACGAACAAGGACTCATGTGATAGACTACTCTGACGCAGAATCACATCTTTTCCATTTGAACTGAACAACTTCGTGAATTATTGTAATTACTGACTTTGTGAATATATTGTTTTGTGACATTTGAAATATATATATAAAAAAGATTGCATTTCCCATCATTATACATATAGTGCCCCATATTACTTATTTTACCATATAGCTTTATTTATTTCCTTATGCAATAAAATTGAGAATGGAAATGGGGAATGTGTCAAAGAGACAACAACCCGACCATAGAGCAGACAACAGCCGAAGGCCACCAATGCATTTATATAAACTTGATTCATATATTATATAAATTATGATTGCAATAAAAGACAACTTGTATTGATGTATTTATATGAAAATCATTCAAAAACTATGGAATTATTAAGACACTTTTATAACTGAATGTCAATGATTAATCATTAGTAACTGTTGTACACAAATGAATCGATTGAATTGATATTAAATTATTGAGAGAAAAAATATTTGATTTATTTTTTATTTTTCTACACAAATGAAAATGTAAAATAAAAAATACCCGAATATATAGAAAACACTAATAAACTATATACTCAAGTTGGAACAGACTATACAATTGTATGCTCATTAAAACTTTTGTCTTTTTTGTTTTCTTTACTTATAGATAATTGGTATAATTAAAAGTGGGCAAACCAGGAGTAAACCCCCCACTTAATGGTTTTACTGCCGGATGACAGGGATAACAACATTTCTATACCACAGTCAACCGTTGAGGTTCATTGAAATAAAGAGATCTGATATGAAATAACACATAAAGCTGGTCAACTGTGACTCTGAGAAGCAATTAAACTTTTAAGAACGGCCCCAAAAAAAAGAGAAGAAAACTCGATTATCGTCGGAAAACGTAAAATTACGTCGTTACCGATTGAGGCGCAATGTCTGGAAATATCCCCTATCTCTTTATAATTTCACCAAGAATTTCGATTTCCAGCTTTACTTCTTTTCATTCTGTTCGAACTCTGTTTAATTTCATATTAACCATGTGTTTCCGGTGTCTTGTCTTTTCAAAACTAATTGCACAATTGGTCAGTTTTTGTACCAGTCATCAGAATTTTTTTTTGAATTTTTCTAATTCAAAATATGAAAATGCGCCACAAATGTTCTCCCCTCCCTGTGCTTGCCAATATTGACATTTGATTGGTTTTTTACCTAGCTCAATATAGGAACTACCCATTAATAATTGGAGAATTAAGTTGCCTGTCTCATGCAATTCTTTTTTTTATAATTTGTGTTCGCCTTGCTTAATGTACATACACTATTTTCACCCTGGTGAACACCATGAATAATAATGATGTGCAATTATTTCCGCTTTACTCTGTTGTTTAACTACATCAATGGGCCAATAGCCTTTGATTGTTCACGACGGTTAAAATTCAAACTTTGAAACTACTCCAGATTTGTATGGTACCTTTACGTTTTTCTCACAAATCTATAAAAGTAAACCTACCATTAAGCATTGTCCTATTTAACATAAAGCTGAAATGGATACAACGGTAGGGGATAGATTATATTTGCAATTGTTATGCTTATATCATATTGTTTACATAATAATTATTGAAAAACCGGTCATTATCGTGATATATGGACTGCCCAAAGGACAGTGGTATTGACATTGTCGCAGTCAATACCACTGTCCTATTGGCAGTCCATGTATCATGATAATGACCAGTTCTTCAATTAAAGGGACAGAGAAACCACGCCCCATCGGTCATTAACATGTAAAAGTCTGTTAACGACCGGTTGTCCGGTCCGTTTTTTTTTCTGTTAAAGACCGATAGAAATTATTACTGAAGAATAAAGAATGTCATGTGGCCCCTTGTTATCCAATAAGAGAAGCTAATTCTTAATCGATATGAAATAAATACAAATATTGTACATATACATATATTGTTGTGTACACAGGGTGAGCAATTCAAGCAAAGTAGTCGTCAACATGATTATCTTTATGAAGAATATTTCTTGCAGAGGTTTTATGAAAAGGACTATAAACAGTTTATAATATATTTAATAAATAATTCATGTTTTAAAAATGATTGTTAGTCAATACACTGTCGTTTTCTAAATATTGCTTTCAAAGCATTGCAATAATATGGATTGATTTCAAGTTGTTTGTGTTCACTTTGTTCTAAAGTTTTGTAAAACTTCAGTGGTTGAATCTGAATGAATTCCATGGGTGAATGTCCTATATTTTCCATGAAGACCGGTATTAGTTTGCATATTTTCATATCACAACGTATTGATAAATGAAGTAAAGTTTGCACTATGTATCTTAATATATTTGCACGTTCATAAAATCTAGTGATTAGCACAAATATGTATTCATATTTTAATAGCGGTTTGATGTCAAATACACTTATGCCAGGGAGAAATATCGCTTCCTGTGTTTCACCTGTAAGTCCAATCATTGTTGCCTTCAAATGATTTAAATATCTTTCTGCCAGTGCTCCATCTTCCTTTCGATCTGAATGAAGGATCGCGACGTCCTCAGTACATATTTCTTTATCTGAAAGAATGAAAATACCTGATTACATATCTCCTAGCCATCAAACCTTCTTTTATCTATGACAGCCCCAATTTCATATTCTTATCCCGGTAGACCCACTTTCCAGAACATACTTATTCAATTGTAATATATATTCTTGTTTTCAAATAACATAAACTATTCACTACTTGACATTTAGAAGAAAAACAATTGGACTGATCATTTGAGTAAATTTATGGTTTTTTTTTATAACTTAGACCACAAGATAAATAAAAAATACGATTTTGGTCACTATATCAAACTGTTCAAATTATTGGTGTGACTCTGTATATGTTTTAGAGAGTATGTTCAACAACCCTAAAATAAGATGTGGTGTGATCTTAGGAGTTTGAATGTCCCTTTGCTGTCTTTCGCCTTTCTTTTTGAATCTCTCATTAGGATAAGTAGCAGTGGAAATAAATGAAGAAAATTGCATGAAATATTTAACTAAAACGACTAACAAAGAAATTAATATATATCTATCTCATTACGTACATCTTCTTATTTCTATATAAGGATCCGCATCTTCGTCTACTTGGTCGTCATCTCTTAGTTCAACGCCTAATGCTTGGTAACAAGTGCATTGTTTTCTCTCGGTTTTCGTTTTCTGTCTCCTAAGTATATAAGTAGATTTATACATCTAAATATAACAGTTAAATAAATTATTATAGCAAATAAAATAAACCATAAGGTACAATTATTATTCAACAAAAATAATCAAAATTATTTCCTTTGGACATATCTAATTAAAAGTTTTTTTTTAATTAAAATACATGTTGGTCAACTTAAACTTAGTATATTTCAATATTTGAGTTATTTACTATGAATCATGTGATGTTTCTCATTACTTTAAACTTAAAAATCATTGATGTTATTTATATATGCTGCTACTAAAACGTGTGGTTTTTTGGTTGTTGTTATTGATAATGTCTTTGTCTTGATAATTCAAAGTACGTTTTCCTTTCTACGACTTACATATTTTCCTTTGAATCTTTGTGAGATGTTTCCAATCTTTCATTTTTTTGATTTTGGCAGTTGTTTCTCCACCCAATCCCTTAAATCAAGTCCATGTCTTGGATTAGAAAAAAAGAAATGGTGTTCTATTTTATTGACAATCTGTTTAGTTTCAATTGACAAACTTCGAAGAACGAGTCTGTTATCAGTAACATTCAGGGCATGGTCGACTTCACCTATACATTTTGAATATCTTATCATCTGTTGTGGTATTACAGACTGACTTTGTTCAACTTCAACAGTCGATTCTAATTTAGACGGCATTCCTTTTGAAGGATATGCACTGCATACTTTTCCATCCTTCTTAGCGGCAGCATCGTCTTTTTGCTTCCTTCCAGGCCTATTTGTAGTTGAACACATTTCCCGTGACACACTTTTCTTTGCATCACCATTTTTGGTAGCAATGTGTGGTCTTTTTTCGTTTACTTTTTTGTAATCGTTTTTTGATTGTAGTTCTGTAATTAAAGAATGTGTACACCGATGAGGTAAAGGAGAATTCATTGACCCGGATAAGATGGACTCCTCAGTGACGTTTCTAACTGTTGATACTGTTTTAAGTGGTATTTCTGGTCTCCGGTAATGAGGTATCGGACGTTGCTGTTGTAAAATTCTTTTTTCTCTACAGTTTTCAATTGCACGCGGAATCGACAGGATCTCGTTAGATTGGACGGTTGTAGAGTCTGATGGCTGGTTTTGTAACCTGAAAATAAAATTTATAAATCACGAGAATGATTAAACAAAGCAAGTGAGGATCTTAAAGTTAACGGACCAAGTATTTTGTTAAAATATTTACACAGACACTATTTAAATTTTTTCATCTACTACGGTTTTATTTAAAAGCAAATTCATTATCAGTTACTATAAAAAGAAGAAGAAACATTTGAATATGTCATCAACATGCTCGTCGACCAGATGGTATACATTATTGGGACTCCCTACTTTGAAATTGTTTCAAAGACATCACGTGTTACCTAACAAATATCAAAGATTCATCAGGTCATTTTTATACCACTAGCTAACATTTTGAATGAGTTTGGATTTTTTGACAATTTGACTGAGTGTTAATTTGCATGGCGGGTGATGTGATGCAGGAGACGCTTACCCTGTCGGACGCACCCGGTCTCGCTCCGTTTGGAGTTTATGTGATTCCCTCATTTTTTTTCATTTTCCGTGATTTATCTTTTCCTAATCGAATTAGGAGATATGAACATCGGTAAACTACTGTCACATTAATTTAAAAAATCTTCACTTGCGAAATAAAAATTACTTTATGATTCCAGGAATCTCATTCTCATAATATTCTAGTTACCTGCATTGTGATTGTTCTTCTATTGTGCCTGTGTAAGACTCTGTTGTCTCTGTAGTTTGGCATACCATCTGGAAATAAAATACAAACACATAAACTTGTGTAGTGATGATGTCTATTAGTTATCTGATTTAGAGAAAACATATTTCAAACTAAATCAAAATATAGGTAAATGCAAAACCGATTTTTGCACCCATTGCAATAACACCTAAAATTCTGTAACCCTCAAAATTGAAATTTTTATGATTATCGACCAATATCTTGACTATTATTTCTTTGAAGCATATTCAAGCAATTGTGAAGAAACATAAAACTTTGTTATCAAAGTGCATAGAATTGGAATGAAAAATGTAAAATGTGTCAACTTTGTGACCTAATTGTATTTAGTTAAGTCCCTTAAATCTTTTACAAATTTAACGGTAATGAAACAAAATGAACCGACGGTTTTAAGGACGAACAAGAAAATTGGAAACTCAATTCCCGCTCCCATCCATTGCAACTAGTTTAGTAAAATATCTTGCACATCACAGACTCCCACTTAAGATAAAAGTAAATACTAGTGACAATATATAGAACTTCAGATTTATGGCCTAGAAAAAGACCCCTCGATTCACTACCAAATATCGATTCTTATTGCAAAGTCATATACCATATTCCTATCTATGGTATGTAAGTAAACGAAAGTACCACACAAGGTCACCTTTGAAGCCAGTTTTATTTACCTAGATGTCTTTTCTGGATTTGTTGTCTTGTCTAATTGACGAATACCCTCAATATCCTTTTATTCATAATATGTAAAATATAGAATGTTAAAAACATAATAAAGTAGGAAGATCATAGTTACTTTCTATGTGCCATCTTCTAATCACTGTGTATCTTTTATCTTTTAATCTGTTACACACTCAGCAATGTCCCTTTAATCGTATATTATTATCTTCAAAAATATAAAAAAAAATGCATGGTATCTTACAAATAATACAAAAAACCCAAAATAGTCGACTTATTTGTAATTAACATTTGGATGAAAAGAATACCTGATTTTTTGTAGATGATTTGTCTCCATTCAGTGTCTGTTGTGTTATTTGGTATCTTGGTAGTGCAGTATGAACAACAGGTAGATCTGTAATATTATAAAGTATACTTAGCAAAAATATTGAAGCCTATTTAAACCTTATTTTTTTTCATTTTATGAGATACATGTAACTAAAGGTTTTGATTTATCATTAACATATATTGTACTTTCTCCTATGTGTAATTTAGCCTAATGCCTTTTATTTTTGTTAAATAGATAATTTCTTTAAAGTCTAAATTGTTTGAACAATCACATCATGAAGTTAAACTTTGAATAAAATTTCTGTGTTATTTTTAAAAAAAATCTTTAATAGAACAATATAAATTGATAATTAAATCATTCAGAAATATTCATTGGCAAATTATTTTTTTTTAATTGATTTCATAGGTTCTATCAGTTGCACTTTGAAAAAAAAGTTTATCAGGATACAGAAAAATAATTACGCGGAAAACGACAATTGAAAATGTAACTAATGATACACCTTTATTGCCATTCTGTAATCTACTTTACTTCTTACAAAGATTTAAGCTGTGTTATTATATCTACCTAGTCTTTATTTCCAAATATGTAACGCATAAGTGTCATCTGGTGGCTCTAGCGTTTTTTCTACCTAATAAAATATAAGATGTCATTAGGGAAAAACTACAAGGCTTATTCAAAATTTAATAGTACAAAATCTTATTTAGTGATCATATGTTGATTTATGATATTTGCAACACATTATGTTATTGTGCTATGGTCATTTTTTTGTATTCTTGTCTTTCATTTTTGCTTACGTGCTTTGTCTATATGCCATTTTGTTTTGCTTTGTTGACATAGTTGTTAATTTTTATAGTGATTAAGATTATGACACAATGTTGACTGCTGTACTCCATTTTTTGACATTTTTACCTATTATGTCTGTTTGTTTTGCTCACACATTGTTGTCAATATAATGGAATTTTATGCGACTGTCATACAAGTGAGAGGTTAAGCTAGCTATAAAACTAGGTTTAATCCACCATTTTCTACATAAGGAAATGTCTGTACCATGTCAGGAATATGACAGTTGTTTTCCATTCGTTCGATGTGTTTGAGCTTTTGATTATGCCATTTGTTAAGGGACTTTCCGTTTTGAATTTTCCTTGGATTCGGTATTTTTGTTATTTTACTTTTTATTGTACACAATTTTTATAAACTCGATACCATTAATAATTTGATATATTGTAAAGATACATGTCCATTTTGGAAGACTATATATAACCCTCCTGGTGTATTGTTATTTGTTGACGTTGTTTTGCTGTTTTATTAACGTATACCCCTGATCTCCCTTTATACCATTAAAACAAATTTCCATGGGTGAAAATAGACCACAAAAAAGTAAGCTTTTTCGGCGTCAATGCATTGTTTGATGGAAAGGGGTGTTTTATTAGATATAAGGTATGTATAGATACGTTACAAAAACGTCCGATCGGTTTGGACTGTGTTGTGAGAGTGTCATTTTTTCTACATGTAAATTTCCAGTTGAAGTCCAGATTTCTAGCCCTTCACCCATTACCAGTTACTTTTTAATTTTGCAAAATCTAAATTGTTGTTTGATATGTTTTCGCCAATAAAGTATGGACTAGCCATTGTTCGTGAAGTAAACGATGAGTATGAAAGAAAAACACATTATAAGCTTCATCTTATGAATGATTCCATTTTAACACATTAAAGTATATTGAAATTAAATTAAACTTACACGATGAAGCATTTTCTTCAGCTCGCACAGCTTTACATTCTGTGAGTCATTCTGGTGCACTAATTCTTGTATATCCGATTCTATAGTCATTGCCTCCCTTTTAATTTCTGAATTTGTGATTCTTTCTCCCTGTGATTTAATTAGAAAAAAATATATTACATAAAAGAGGGACGAAAGATACCAGAGGGACAGTCAACTTGACATATTCTCAAGCATATCTGAGATTAAGATCTTGTGTCAATATTTCTAAATTACTATATTACAATAAAGTTGTAAATAAATCCAACGAGACTTAGGACGAATACACAATACTGGATATAACTTGGAATAAAAAGACTTACGTTCTGTTGTAGCTGATTCAGTCGTCTCTGTATTTTATCGATCATTGTTTGACCTGTAGGAGTTAATAAATATAAGAATAATACTTTTAAATCAACATATTTCAAATAACGTATGACATGAACTGCTATATGCAAATGCCAACATTTTCATTCAGTATAATCTTAACTTTGATGTGAAACTGCAATTGAAAAACTGTGTTACTAATGACAGTACAGTATGTTTTGATATCGAAATCCGAATTTCTGTTTTCGGCTCTGCGAAATGCCAATATTCATCCCCATTAAAAGTATGCCCTTTTTACCAAAAAAGTGTACGTCATAGATATATGCTTTTCAGACTAAATGCGCTAGATTACTACTTTTGTTTTATAACCGTCAAATATTTAAGAGATTGAAACTATACAACGGTTTAACATTTTGGAAAATGAAGATGATCATAGCTGCAACCTTCGAACCAAGATTATTAGCATAACATGACGTTTTCTTTTTGAATCATGGTAAGGGAATGATCTGAATTTTTGAATTGTCATTAAGTTTGAAGAACATATATTTATGACGTAAATATTTATGTTGATAATGACCTGAGGTTGATTCATTCGGGACATTTTGAGAATGTGCCACCGTTATAATGAAATTGTGATGTGATGAAGATTCTGCGAATAATTCATTATAATGTATTTCTGATGGTTATTGTTGAATGTCTTGTTTCAAGTTTTGTCGTAGCAGGACAAGAGACGATGGATAGAGACCCCGGCTAAGCAGACACAAAAAAAGCAGTCTCAATTGCTATGCTTATTATTATGTTTTTCATAAATACATTAGAATATGTAATCTTTTTTAATTCCTTTGCAGATCCTTACCTGAAAATAAGTCAAAACCTTTGTCACGTATGTCATGAATCCTTTGACATAAACGTCCTGGTCTACTTGGGTGATTCTCATTAGCATTGGCTACATCATTTGGTGTCTTTACGTAATTCTCAATACTATCTGCTACATCAAAACATTTTTTGAAATAAGAGTCAAACTCATCTCGTGTAATATTTGTATTTGGTAAATGAGATAATTTGTTTCTAATTCGGCAAAGAGAGTCTAAATGTGAATTAATGGTTGTTGCTCCACACATGAATTTCAAAATCTTTATCAAAAGACTTAAATCGAATTGTTGATAACCTTTCTGTGGACTTTCGAATATGTAAATTTCTTCAATCTTGCTGAAAAATGTTCTTCCTCTAATAGATGCGTACCAATCAGGAAGTTGGGTGTGATTCAGGAAAGATTCCAGAAGATTCCGCAGTATCCCTGGGAATAGATCTATGGTTAATTTATTCAGAATGGGTAGATACATGTTATACTCTTCCATTGTAACTTTGTCTTTTTATCTTAGACTTTCTAAGACTTGCATGTACAAAACCTGTCAATAAAATTGGTTTAATTAATACAGATACCTGCTGTCCAATTCTTTTCAGTATAATTATCTGAGTAAAACTTTTTGAAATTAAATATAATTGATTCAGCTGACTTTAAAATTATAATTGCTGCAAAATCTGAAACAGTCTAACTCTTTCCTTACATTGTAGATAGATTATAGTTTCAACTTATTTCACTATATTATTACATATGTTTGTGTCATGTATAACCCCATTACAGGTTGCATTTCTGTAAATATTGACAATGCAATTTCCCATAGGAACTCCTTTTACGGCTAAAACTGTACCACTTTTACTATGAAGTTTTGAAAAAAATCATATCCTAGAATGGAAAGTTCATATGCACTACAATTTTTTTCAAAGGTCAAAATATAGGGCTGTGCGGCATATTTTCAACGTTTATATGCCCCGAACTTCTAAGAGTTTAAACTAACACTAAATTTCTTAACTATCCCTACCTTGACTGTGGGATTACCATAGATTTCTATATAGACAATATGCATATGAATATTTACTGGTAACATTCCCAAGTTATGTCTCTATGAGATGAAACCTAGAGATCATAACTGGGAACCAGTATGTAAACAAAATTAATTATCTATGAATATTCTATATCTCCCCAAAAGAGGCGTGGTTTGAGAAACAGCTGTATTTACAAAGTGCAACCTATACAAACATTTATTCCAATAGAAAACTCTCTAAAAACACTTTTTCTCACATTAATACTTATTTATCAGAATTATAGCCTTAAAGAAATCACTGCATAAACTCTAAGTTTTCTTTTACTGTTCATTTGATACCCCCTCCCCTGTTACAATTTTTTTAAAGAATTTGAAAACAAGACTTTAATTATTGCCAGCTTACCCTATTTGCGTGTTGTCTGACATGAAATGCCTAGAACCTGTTTAAAACTGTTCTGATAACATATTGAAAGTATTTCAGAATACTGTAAATGTAATGTTTTGCAGTCAATCATTCCAACATTCAAGATTATATAAAGTATCAAATCCTGCATGTGTCTCCAGTCCACATTTTACTGTATGCCTATTTGTCAATGAAAGTTCACAATTTCTGCCTCAAATGGTCAGTTTAGAATTCTTGTCACAACAGTATCATCTCTAATCATATATCTGACATAATTTAGCTAAAATATGAGCTAGAAGTGTTAAAACAAATCCATATTTGCAAAAGTTGTATGTATGCAGATACCAGTCTGATGTATAAATTCACTTAAAATTTTATAGAAATGACTGCTAACATCTAATTTTTGCATAACTTCCAAGCACAGTTATTGTTTTCTATATAAAGACCTTTAAAATCATAAAATCATAGCATTTACAATTTAAATTATTTGTTTTATGACCCAGGGGGTAGGCAATTTTCTCTGTTTTTTGCCCCTGGGGCATCGAATTTCCTAAATTATTCTGCTGTTTCTAGCAATATGGAATATTTAGTACATATTCAGGCTAGAACAAACTATTGTAAGTTTTGTTGAGATATTTTTGTATTTTAAGCTTGTATTTTTTATGCCGCGGTGACAAAAAAGCAGATTTAGGCGTTACAGTTTACTTTTGGGTTATCGACAGGACAAAAACACCCCACCAATAATATTCAGGACGGATCTATGAGCTTCAATGACTGCGAAGAGTAAATATAAGCACTTCTAAACAATTTAACTTACAAATATGCATATATTATGAATTTATTTTGCATTCAGGGCTTTAAGTAAACTATGCATACTGTAAACTGTGAATTTATGCTGAGTCATCATAGTTAAGGCCCAGGATTTTCTCAATCTTCATGAAATATTTATAAAACTCCGTATTTGAGTTAATTTCTTTAAAATCTGTGAGATAAACCAAATTTGGTTTAATTCTGTATGTTCTCTTTTTTCACCCAATATAGGTTGCATTTCTGTAAATATTGACAATGCAATTTCCCATAGGAACTCCTTTTACGGCTAAAACTGTACCACTTTTACTATGAAGTTTTGAAAAAAATCATATCCTAGAATGGAAAGTTCATATGCACTACAATTTTTTTCAAAGGTCAAAATATAGGGCTGTGCGGCATATTTTCAACGTTTATATGCCCCGAACTTCTAAGAGTTTAAACTAACACTAAATTTCTTAACTATCCCTACCTTGACTGTGGGATTACCATAGATTTCTATATAGACAATATGCATATGAATATTTACTGGTAACATTCCCAAGTTATGTCTCTATGAGATGAAACCTAGAGATCATAACTGGGAACCAGTATGTAAACAAAATTAATTATCTATGAATATTCTATATCTCCCCAAAAGAGGCGTGGTTTGAGAAACAGCTGTATTTACAAAGTGCAACCTACAAGTACCAATTAGTGGAAACCACAGCAGGTAATCTCTAATTGTATCTTCTATCTATGTGTTGCATGAAAAGAAAGAATGAAAATAACTGTTCCTCACTCGAGATGATAAAACGGACAACTGTAACAGTATTTAAATGGCGATTTATACTACAAATAAATTGATATGAATTCCAATGAGATGACTATTGACCACTGTCAAAATGGCACGAATGTAAACAACTACTGTACATGCATTTGTAATAACATATTATTTGCTACTTTTATATGAAGTGCATAGAATAATCTGTTACTTAATTTGCATTGTATGTAAGTTTCTACTTTTGTAGATTTATCATTAGCATAATGCTACATATATATATTTTTGTAGTCAGTAGTGACTTTTTTAGCAGAATATATATTCTGCTAAAAAAAAGTCACTACTGACTACAAAAAGTAAAATAACAAAAATACCGAACTCCGAGGAAAATTCAAATCGGAAATTCCCGTATCAAATGGCAAAATCAAAAGCTCAAACACATCAAACGAATGGAAAACAACTAACATATTCCTGACTTGGTACAGGCATTTCCTTTTGTAGAAAATGGTGGATTAAACCTGGTTTTATAGCTAGCTTAACCTCTCACTTGACAGTCGCATAGAATTCCATTATATTGACAACAATGTGTGAGCAAAACAAACAGACATAATAGGTAAAAATGTCAAAAATAGGGGTACAACAGTCAACATTGTGTTATAATCTTAATCACTATAAAAACAAACAAAAATGTCAACAAAGAAAAGCAAAATGGCATATAGACAAAGCACATAAACAAAAATGAAAGACCACAGCACAACAACACATTGGCGGGATGCAGAAGTACCGAGCCACGCCAAAAGGATATTACAAAACATGGACTTAACAGTAAAGGCTAATAATTTACAAAGACAAATAAAAGAACAAAATAACACGTAAATTAAGATGATAAACAACGTCAGTACCTAGAATATATACATCAAAGGATCTTTGCATCGGAAATAAACACATTTATTCTAAAGCCAGTTGTTGGCATGACACGGGTTATGTTCTTCTCATATATTTTATGATGGCATGATACAAAACCACTAACGGGAGGGATTGTGCTTGATTTTCTTATGATGAAGACATAATCTTTTAATTCAGTTTAATTCTGTTCTGGAACTGGCATGTCAGTAACTGCTAGTAGTCCTTTGCTAATTTAAGTATCATTGTCATTTTGCTTAGTTTCTTTTGTTACCCTTTTCTGACATCGGACTCGGACTTCTTTTAAACTGAGTTTTACTGTGCGTACTGATGTGTGTTTGTTTATTCTACAAGGGCTAACGATATAAGGGGAGGGTTGAGATCTCACAAAACATGTTTATCCCCGCCGCATTTTGGGCCTGTCCTAAGTCAGTAGCCTCTGGCCTTTGTTAGTTTTGTATGTTTTTTTTTATTTTAGTTCATTTATATGTTTCTGAGTTTAGTGTGACGTCCATTTTCACTCAACTAGTAAACATTTTTGTTTAGGGCAAGCTTAAGCCCGCCTCCGAGTGCGGGATTGTCTCGCTGTGTTGAAGACCCATTGGTGGCCTTCGGCTGTTTTCTGCTCTGATGTCGGCTTGTTGTCCCCTTGACACATTCCCTATTTGCATTCGCAATTTTATTCAAGACCATCATGTATTATTTGTGAAGTTGGTACGGAATATTTATCAATAAGGTTTTGATATCTTCCGATGAACATTTTTAGAAAAATGACTAGACGTTCTTTTACATGACCCTGGTTCGTCAACTTTCTGCTCAGACACAGGTGACGTCTTATAAAGTATTGGGAGCAGCAACAAGTTCTTGAATACCGAATGAGTTGGGAAATGTATATCCCATATGCATGTGAAGATGGTATATTGCTACTAAGGTGGGGGAAATTGATAATTTCAAAATTGAAATCGTCTCGTTTGTCATAGATTCATGTACTGAGATGACCACTCATGTCAAATTCGAGGTATAAGTATAAAAATGAGGCGGAGGAAGCCGTGTCTGTTGTTTCTTTAATTTTCTAGTTCTGGAGGATATATTAACGGAACCCAATCAAAAAAGTTTGGACTGTTAATGGAAATAACATCATCAATATATCTGAATGTTGTTATATTTACACATAGTTGATTGCATCCGAATAAATAGATTGAACCTTGCATTTAAAGATGCGACATGAAAAAAAATATTGATACGATCATGCACATTCTCATTTGGATGTAGTCACCTTAATTCGTCGCAAAAGACTTCTCTGTTGTGGTCGAATATACTTTTATATAGTATAAATTTTGAACAACAAATAACCATTTATTAATCTTTTGCAATATATTTCTAAATATAACTGATGTTTATGCATCTTTTTGGGAAAGTTGTGATTTTCGTTCGCTGATATTCAGTATATAGGATAATTTATTCATCTTTGAATGTTTTATATGTTTCGAATATTTCAAACGTTGGGCGCGAATTCAGGAAGGCCACAGCAGGGAACTTTCTCGCTAAAAGGAATCTTATGGTGTTTTTTTTTAATTTAATACCATATAAATCGTCATTGATTAACAACTATTCTTATGATATTAGTACCATAATTATGTGTACAAAACGTAGAGACAAATATACTAAACTACAACGTTATGTTCACCAGCTTGTAGTAATAAAATGTCTTCCTGAAATTTTTTAAGTTTTCAGATTTGATGAGGTCCATTCACTCCGGTTTCAGAGAATTAAGATTTTTAAAATTTTTTGTACAGAAACAAAATCTGTAATCACTAGATGTGGCCTGTCGTAGTCATTTGAAGACATGCAGCCACCAAATTCGTCCTTAAAAATAAACGCGGGAGCAATAATTCTATCAACATTGTAAGTGTTGGTGATGTTTCTATTTTCATGTATGAAGCATATAGATTATATCGAAGAATAGGCAACACCAATGTCATTGGATTTGCTGGAACGAGACGGAATAGATTTCACAATATTATGAAATACCCATTTATTTGTTGGATTGATAAACACCACAAACACAGATTTTTTTTACTTTTTAAAGTTTTCTGATTTATGCAAAAGCAATACAATAAATACTTACTCAAGCCTCTCAGCGCATTGATGTCCAACAAATATAGTGAGTAAAACACACTGGGAAATAACCGGGAATAAAAAAACACCATTATTATGGGTGTAAAACTGGTACCGTAACACTTTTGTATTGAAAGAAACAAGTATACAGCCAGCCATAGTTTTCTTTATACGATATCGAGTCTTGACGTTTATAATCCGCTATTCTTTGTTTGACATATATATTTTAAGATATAATATGTATAAGAAATTAGAGTAATACTAACTTGAAAATTGTACTTTATTATAGAATAACCTCGTATCTTTCGATTGTTTTGTAAAATGGTAGGCAATATAACCGACCCGGATTAATGATTCAAACGGAAGAGAACCAGTCAAAGTTATCATACGATCCGGTGTCATAACAAACTGACTCATACAGGTAATTTCCGCGAAATTTAAATGATAAAAGATGATTGTTCTATTTATATCAATATTATGAATGCTGAATGCAAATTAAACAATAATCAAGTAAATATGAACAAAAGAATTGATTGATTGATTGGTGTTAAATGTCACTTTCAGCACTATTTTCTATTTCGTGGCATTCCGTTTTTTTATTGGTGGAAGAAGCCAGAGTACCCAGAGAGAACAAACGACCATCGGCAGTGCATTTATAGAGGATATTGTATATAATCGTCAATTAGACAAAAAAAAAAACGACGGAAATGTCCAAAAAGAAGCACATAGAGGGCAACATACAAAAGTAAATAAAAAATACAAAATAATCAAATATATTATGAATTTTAATCTTTTTTTTCATTTATCGAATTCTTATCTATTCTTGCAGAATGCAATTATACACAATATGACATAATATATTTATTGTCAATCTTTCAATGCGCTACTGATTCCAGAAATTATTATTTTCATTGGAATGCAATCTTTTCACTCACTGTTTTGATTAAAAATTTCTCTTGATGTCGGACTTAAAAACTAAATATTTGCGACTATTACAGGCAAAGTTCACCTTAGATAATTTTGAGTATTCATCCAGGTCCCTTTTATGTAAGATCCTTGTTTTTAATGTTGAGGTTTGAGCGTTCCTGATAATTAAGTCCAGAAATTAAACGCTTTTGACGTACGGAATCCATAAAGAGCTATCATTTATAGATAGGACGAGCAAGTAGCATCAAATTTCTAATCGGTTTAATGAGCCATTTACTTGAAAAAATATCTGTACGATGCAAGAATTGCAAACTTTAAAAAATAAACAATGAGTCAGTTTTATAATTCAATTTGATCCTTTGTGTCTACTTCCCTGTGTTATAGAAGGTAAACTAGTAGGTGTTTTTCAATAAATGTATTTCAGGTCAAAAATTATTTTGTCCAGAAAGCTGCAGCATACAATATAAAGATTCAAGTCAAATTGTGACATAAAAGAAAAAATTAAAGCTATTTACTGAACAATTCCGGTAAATTTGGATCAAAATCGAAAGATTTTCTGTTAGGAGAGTTCAATGTACACGTGTAATAAAATTTTAGAAAATAACCGTTCCGTTATATAAAACATATTCATCTTTTGTGCAATGAAAATGAAAATTGACACAAGAGACCACCCACTAATCATGAACTGAATATATCGGTTATTATTGACCAAACGAAAAGTAATTGATGAGGATTTTGTTTCTAAGGTCTTTTGAAAGTCCTCTGTATTTATGATGAGTTTATTTGGGAGTATTTCATAAAATGGATGGCTCAAAAGTTTAACTAACCTGCGTAGACTTCAGAAGACACAATAAATCAGTCCAACCACTTATTTTCCTTTACATTTGATTGATGACATGTTTGCCCTCTTACAATGTATGGGACTCATCTTGCTTTACTTTTTTAGATTTAATGAGCAGTTACTGCAACTTTAATTTAGAAGGCGTTAGTATAGACAAGATTGATTTTACATGTCACAAAAGACAGCTGAAATAGCTGTATCGGAGCTTGTGTGACCCTACAAAAAAGTAAAATCACAAAAATACCGAACTCCGAGGAAAATTCAAAAAGGAAAGTCCCTAATCAAATGGCAAAATCAAAAGCTCAAACACATCAAACGAATGGATAATAACTGTCATATTCCTGACTGATTATGATGAGGAAGAGTGAATCTATTTGTATCACACGATCTCAGTGCCTTGAAAACCAAATGGTTGATAATCGAGAAGGACAGCTTCCTAATTTACTATTACTATAGTAGTTCCGAATAGACTATAAGCAGCTCAAATATATTTAGAACGCGCCGATGCAATCCATGAAAATACAGCAATAGGTGCATATAATCGTTAGCTATAACTGCCAGGCCGAATACCTAAAAGGCAAGGAAAATCAGTTTGCCGACATTCTTTCAAGAAAACCTTTAACAGAAAATGACAGTTAGAAAGAAGAATCTGATTACGAAGAACTTGAAACAGACGATCAAGTTCTTCAATCAATAATATCAACTTCAATAAGATTAACCCAATTAACTTTGTAAATTTTCAAGTTAAAACTCAGGAACGAACAGGAAAATGACGAAATAGTCAGAAGATAAAAAAAAACTTTAAGAAGTAAATACCAACAAGACTGAATAGACACACTACTTCAAATTTCAAGCGATTGGGTAATGGTCTAACCACGAGTATTAAGACACAAGAATGAGATCCTGTGCCTGAGAATCTTGAAGACGTAATACTCAAACAAAACCACTGTGATTTAGAAAATATGGCGTCTAGTCGGACCTACAACGCCATAGTATACTATCCCGAGAATGTACAAGAAAATTAACAGTTATATTGAGAAATGCACGACCTGCCGAACAAGAAGCGGTAAGAAGGTGAAACCACCCATCACGAAACATACTCCTACAACTCTACATTTGACTGGACCATACCCTACAACCTTGTCTGGAAATACTTGACAAGTTAACTTACAATATCGCTCAATTGTTTCAAATTGATGAATCTTTCCAATTTATGGTACTTCTCTCGAAGTAGTGTCAATGGCACAAAAAACGTCAATAGCAAAGTGGACGAAATATTAAAAGCACTATAAATTCAGCATGACATTTTACAGGCAGCAAAGCTTATAGCAATATAGAAAGATTTCATAGGACCTTGAATGATGCTATGTCTAGAGAAGAGATGTCAATACCTGGGGCCCCTTATTGAACCTTACTTTGGCAGCAATAAGATTCCACACCAACGAATCGACGAAATTCTATACAAAGCTATATAAGATAAAATCAACGCTAAATAACACTCCAAGAACAGCACAAAGCGCTCTTGTTTGTGTATACTTTTAGTATAAAACAGACCAAGAACAAACAGAAGGAAAGAATTGACAAAGTCAATTAGGAAGAACAATTTCAAGTTGATGACCATGTTTATTTTACAAGAATCATCGAAAAGCAAACAAACCCGACAAAAGGTCGACTCTCTTCTTTCGAATATTGAAACATACACGGCAACTCAGATTTATGCTGGGGAATCAGTTAGACGGATCGATTACTATGGCGCATGATCGGCGATACAGACGACGAAAAAGGACGTCTCTTAAAAAAAGTACATGTCTGTTACCCTATTCAACACAAAAAAAAAATACATATCATGCGACATCACTGAAAAAAACTGTTCGAATGAAGATGACATTCAATAACTTATAATGCAACAGGGTTGACTGTGAACGAAAAACTTAAATTTAATCCGACGGAGAGTACAATTTCCATGTTGAAGATAGATATCGGGGAAAAAAAGGGGACTCATCGTCTGAGGTTTGTTGCGTAAATTTAGTAAACAAGAAGAAAAGGTAAATCCAAAAAAATCTAAGAGATTTCTATTTTCCAAGAGATACTATATATATATATAGGTTTGAACGTTGTTTTCAATTTAGACTTGTTTATATATATATATATATATTTTCCAAAAGACCAAAAAAGTGAAAAAGTATATTTTAACAAAACGCATTTGACTAGCAGGTAGAACAACTGATGTTCTTAAACCCTGCTGACTGCCATTGGCGATTGCCAAATAAACGGATCACCAGATGTAACAAAATGGATCTTATTATTGATTTATTACCAAACAGAAAACAATAAACTTGCGGAAAAGATGGTATACCGCAAATGAGGTGCAAAAATTAGACTTGTTTATATATATATATATTAGGGAAGAACAAAAATTGGCTTCCGCAAATTTGCAGATTTAACATTGCTGTGCTGATATTTAGAGTAATGATGAATATATATATATATATATAATTCGTTTAAATATATATATATATATATATATATATATATATGTCTAAACTGAAAACAACGTTCAAACCTATGATTGCATTGGATAAAAACCGCAATTTTTATTCGTGTGCATACGAAACAAATTTCTTGGTAGAGGGGTATAAATAAAGTACAAACAACATTTTCCAAACGACCAAAAAAGTGAAAAGTATATTTAAACAAAACGCATTTGACTAACAGGTCGAACAACGGATGTTCTTAAACCCTGCTGACTGCAATTGGCGATTGCCAAATAAACGGTTCACAAGATGTAACAAAATGGATCTTTATTATTAATTTAATACCAAACAGAAAACAATAAACTTGCGGAAAAGATGGTATACCGCAAACATGAGGTGCAAAAATTTGTACACCATACCATACCATGTATATATATATATATATATATATATATATATATATATATATATATATATATATATATATATATATATATTATACCAAGACATACTATATATATATATTTCATATTTATTGAAACTGAATGCTGCTTTTTGTATAAAACTTCAAAAGTAGCTTTCAATTCCTATGTGAATTGTATTTCAATGATTTAACAAGCAAATTACAAGCTAAATCAATTATTTTTGTCTGTTTTGACAACGCACTGTTGTAACGTTGTAATAGACATCGCGTGCAGTCATTAAGTTTTAGTAGAGATTCCCAATTAAAATGACATTACTCGACATAACCAACTTATCTGAACGTATCCCGTCTTATTGCATTGAAGCATGACGGAGGGGAGCATAGACTGCATGAATATTTTGCTCGTTGAATACAAATACTTTTTGCAATAAAGGTTATTTAAAAGTTGATCAAATCTACTATTTTAAATCTTTAC